TATATATATATATATATATATATATATATATATATATATATATATATATACACACACACACATATATGTCTATATATACATATATACATATATCTCTATATATATACATATATATACATATGTCTACATATATACATATATATACATATGTCTATATATATTCATATATACATACATATATAAATATATATCTATATATATATATATATATATATATATATATATATATATATATATATCTATATATATATACATATATATATATCTATATATATATGTGTGTATATATATATTCTTATATACATATATATATATATATATATATATATATATATATATATATATATATATATATATATATATATACATATATACATATATTAATTTGTTGGTTCAAAGGCAAATTTAGACATTCAAGTTCCTTTACTTAATTAGGCTACGCTACACACATACACACACACACACACACACACACACACACACACACACACACACACACACACACACACACACACACACACACACACACACACATATATGTATGTGTGTATATATATATATATATGTATGTATATATATATATATATATATATATATATATATATATATATATATATATATATATGTATGTATATATATATATATATATATATGTATGTATATATAAAGTTAAAGAACAGTATCTGCAAAATTATGGTTCTGAGATAATTGTCTTTCTTCGTGGAGTCGCCACTATATTTTGATAGAAACTGCCAGTTTGAATTGTAAAAATCTCGTTAACTAAGAAAAAAAAATGGTATCTGAAGTATTCTAAAGGTGGAGATAGTGTATTCAAGTTCCTTGGGTAAGATGACTTAATTTGGACAAAAATGAAGATACTGCTCTTGAACTTTGGGGGGCAGTACACACACACACTCACATAGACACACACACACACACACACACACACACACACACACACACACATGTATATATATATATATATGTATATATATATATATATATATATATATATATATATATATATATATATATATATAAATATATACATACACACATATATATACATAGACGCACATATATACATACATACATACATGTATATATTATATATTATATATATACACATATATATATATGCTAAAAAAAGGTGAGAAATTGCTCTTTGACCTGTTGAAGTAACAAATTATCATTTATAGGAGCCAAATCGTGACTATGATGTAACGGTTTTACTGTTCATATCGTAAGTGACCAGTGATAAAAGATAAGCTAATTAATCTGAAGTATACATAACATATGGCCAATTACATGGATCAGGATTGTGACTGATAAAACGTAATCCTGAGTATAGATTGCACATTCAGAAACAGAGGTCATGTCAATGAAATTTAGTAGAATATCTTACCAGTACATTTTCAAGGAAGATTACGGTGATAAAACCATTAAAGACACCGTGTTGCCCACACAATGTAATATGCAATTTCCTCTAATCTTGACCATGTGGAGTTAATTGTAAATAAGCCTGTTCACATTTTTAACGCTGGGTAATAACCGTTATCTTCTCTGTGACTTTCACGTTGGAGTGGTAAGAAGGAGGGGGGCGGGGGATATGATAACACTTTTAGTCCTATATCATTACTTTACATCTTACACTAGTTCAAATGTAAAACTTAATAAAATTATACTCTCTGCACAAGACGAGAATAAACATAAAACTTGATTTTCTATATTGTGTTATTTTTCTATCAATTTCTTAATCAAAGCAATGTCTAAACGCGTGTTTGTGTGTGTATGCGTGTACGTGCATAAACCTTTTTGCGTGCATAAACCTTATTCTTTGGGGATAATGAAAGATGGAATAAACTACAAAAAAACTTTACCCTTATATTCTTATTACAAATATAATCACAGACGTAAAAGGCTGTATAGCAAACATAAATCCATAATTTGGGAACAAGAAACAACGAAAGGAAAACGACAAGAAACAAGAACAAGAAAAGTTACATAAGATACATTATTTAAGATAATATAAATAAAGACAGCATAAAAGTCCCGCCTCAGTCTTTCTTCTCAGCTTTGTCACTGTCGGAGTCCTCGGTGGCAGAGCGGGCGTCCTTCAGCCCTTCGCCTCTCAGCTTCTTCGCCATCGTCCTCACGATGAGCCCCGTCCAGATGGCGGTGAGGCACAGCAGCCCCACGAACCACGACTGCATCATGTACAGCGCCGGCATCTTCACTCCCGCTGGGGCGGCCTCGGTGAACACGCTTCGGACTATCCAGAAGGGTAGGATGCCGCACCTGGTGATGCCCCACAGGACCAGGAATGCCACGAAGAGGGGCTCCGTAGGGGCATCGTACCCTGCGTAGTGGCAGACCTTGGCGGCCAGAAGAGCGATGTCCGAGTACTCGTGGACGAACAGGATGAGGGTGCCTATCCGTACGTATCCTGTGGTCCACGAAAAGACGATGAGCAGGATAGTAAGCGAATGGTGCAGGATCA